TTGTAATTATTGCACGAGTGTTCTTAAAATTTCAAAATGGCGTAGTCAATAGGTGGCCTTTGGCTTCCAGGGGGACAGGAGAGGCTCGATTAAAAAAATTAAAATTGACCAGCACTTTGTACAATCGAGTGTAAAATATTATCGAAACTGTAAAATACAAAATGGAGATCGCGTTGAAATTATTGCTGTGTTCTTAAAATTTAAAGATGGCGTGGTCGATAAGCAGCCTTTGGCTTTCGTGGAGGGGGAGGCTCGATTAAAAATATTAAAATTGACCAGCACTTTGTACAATCGAGTGTAAAATATTATCGAAACTGTAAAATACAAAATGGAGATCGCGTTGTAATTATTGTTCGAGTGTTCTTAAAATTTAAAGATGGCGTTGTTAATAGGCGACATTTGGTTTCCAGGGGGTGAGGGGAAGCTCGATTAAAAATATTATCGAAACGGTAAAATACAAAATGGAGATCGCGTTGTAATTATTGCACGAGTGTTCTTAAAATTTCAAAATGGCGTAGTCAATAGGTGGCCTTTGGCTTCCAGGGGGACGGGAGAGGCTCGATTAAAAATATTAAAATTGACCACTTTGTATAATCGAGTGTAAAATATTATCGAAACTGTAAAATACAAAATGAAGATCGCGTTGTAATTATTGTTCGAGTGTTCTTAAAATTAAAAGATGGCGTAGTCGATAGATGACCTTTGGCTTTTGAGGAGGGGTGGCTCGATTAAAAATATTAAAATTGACCAGCACTTTGTACAATCGAGTGTAAAATATTATCGAAACTGTAAAATACAAAATGAAGATCGCGTTGTAATTATTGCTGTGTTCTTAAAATTTAAAGATGGCGTTGTCGATAAGCAGCCTTTGGCTTTCGTGGAGGGGGAGGCTCGATTAAAGATATTAAAATTGACCAGCACTTTGTATAATCGAGTGTAAAATATTATCGAAACTGTAAAATACAAAATGGAGATCGCGTTGCAATTATTGCTGTGTTCTTAAAATTTAAAGATGGCGTTGTCTTTGGCTTCTGGGGAGGTGAGGTTCGATTAAAAATATTAAAATTGACCAGCACATTGTATAATCGAGGTTCTACCGCATCGCGTTGGAAAGGACCGTGTGGCTCGTTTCCATTTCTACTCCACATGCTCCGCAGATTATCGGGCCTACTCAAGCATTAACTTCTCGCTCAGAGACCGGCTGTTAACTCAATATTAGCCGCCAAATTGCCAATATACGCGGTCCAATGGGACTTGATATTGAATTCGCGTAGGAAATGATAACGATTCCGAGTAGTTTCGCAGCATCGATAGTAGTCTCGATTCGCAAGTGGCGCCGAACCGAGTCGATGAAGGCATTAATTCTGCTTCCTCGATTAATTCCAAACGAACGTCGAATTACCCTGGCGGGATGAATTACGTTACCCCGGGGGTAATTTCTGTGTCGAAGAAAATCCGTTTCCGGATTCTACGTGGACCTGTGTACTACGAAGATACGCGGTATGTTTGATCGCAGTTAAGATTCGGTAAAGAAATTTGGGACGACTTCGTTATCGAAGCTGGTTTTTAAGTTCCACGGATGCATTTTAACAAATTAAACACGGTGAGTTAAAACCCACTATTTCTCGACTGTAAATCCCCCGGACGTCGCGACTTCTAGTTTTCCACCGTGCGAGTTTGTCTTTCTGCACGACACGTAAAGTGTCTGCAAGTTTACGCGAAGACACGAGAGATAAAGCAGGAAGTAACTAAACGGAACGGGCGGGAGCGACTTCTAAACGGTCTCGCGCGGCCAATTGACTTTTATTCGACCGTGGATAAGAATCCCAACGTCCGCAAACTAAGCATTTCCAGGGTCTAAGAGGTTACCTGTGGCTGACAAAAATGTACGAAATTATGGTTACATTAAAGTTTAGAATTTTTAAAAAGGTGGAGTAGTTACCATAGAAGTCTTCGAAATGGCGCCCAGTTGAATTTTTATTCGATAGCTGATAGGAACCTTAATACACTCACTGTCCATGACTCGTATGTGGGTCACATCACCGTGCTATTGGATACACTGCTGAGAAACCGGACAGTGAACCTGTTGACCTCCATAAACTGAATATTTTGCAGACTCTAAGAGGTTGCTTATGGCTCATAAAAATGAAAAAAATTATGATTTAGAATCTTGAAAATAACATTGGTATAGTTATCATTAAAGAAATCATTTATATCTTCAAAATGGTGTCCAATTTGTCTTTCATTCGATCGTGGATAAGAATCCTAACGTCCGCAAACTAAGCATTTCCAGGGTCTAAGAGGTTACCTGTGGCTGACAAAAATGTACGAGATTATGGTTACGTTAAATTATAGTTTAGAATTTTTAAAAAGGTGGAGTAGTTACCAGAGAAGTCTTCGAAATGGCGCCTAGTTGACTTTTATTCGATAGCTTATAGGAACCTTAACATGCTCACTGTCCGTGACTCGTATGTGGGTCATATCACCGTGCTATTGGATACACTGCTGAGAAACCGGACAGTGAACCTGTTGACCTCCATAAACTGAATATTTTGCAGAGTCTAAGAGGTTACCTATGGCTCATAAAAATGTACGAAATTATGGTTCCGTTAAATTATAGTTCAGAATTTTTAAAAAGGTGAAATAGTTACCATAGTAGTTTAAAGGAAATGGGTGTCTTCGAAATGGCGCCCAGTTGACTTTTATTCGATCGCTGATAGGAACCTTAACATGCTCACTGTCCGTGACTCGTATGTGGGTCATATCACCGTGCTATTGGATACACCACTGAGAAATCAGACAGTGAACCTGTTGACCTCCACAAACTGAGCATTTTGCAGACTCTAAGAGGTTACCTATGGCTCATAAAGATGAAAAAAATTATGGTTTCACTGAATTATGGTTTAGAATCTTGAAAATAACATTGGAATAATTACCATGGAAGTGTAAATGAAATGATGAGGTGTCCTCAAAATGGCGTCGTGTGCTCAATTCTAAGGGGTTACCTGTGACTCATAAAAATGAAAGAAAATTTATGATTTCGTAAAATTATAACTTAGAGTTTTAAAAATAACATTAGTATAGTTACCATTGAAGAAATCGTTTAAATGAAATGGTGGGGATGTCTTCAAAATGGTGCCCAATTGACTTTCATTCGATCCTGGATGAGACTGTTAACCCTTTGGGTACATTTGACGTCTGAGACACGTCATTCACTTTTTTCCCCTAGGAGCGGATGACGTGTCTAAGACGTCAAACCAAAAATTAAACTCCTGGGTACATTTGACGTCTGAGAGACGTCATTCACTGAAATTCAAAGGTCGATTGAGTTTTATTCAATTTATTGCCTCCAAAAGAGCTCGTTTTGGCATAAAATTTTATAAACTTTGCGAATCTACATCAGGTTATTGTATTCGTTTCAAAATTTATGTTGGCAAGGATAAAATCCAGGGAAGTGATATACCTGCTACTGAGAGTGTAGTCATGGAAGTGGCACAGCCTATTTTAAAAAAAGGTTACACGTTGTATATGGATAATTTTTATTCATCACCACATTTATTTCTGACCTTACTAAAAAATGATACGAATGCTATTGGAACTGTTCGGAAAAACAGGAAGAATATGCCAAAGGTGTTTTCTTCAATGAAGTTGAAAAAAGGAGAAGTCAAAACTTTATCCAGTCACGGTTTATTGGCTTTGAAATGGAGAGATAAAAAAGACGTTCACATACTTAGCACGAAACATTCAAATGCTGATTTGATAAACACAGGCAAAAGGAGAAAAAATAAAGTTGGCGATAGCGAAAATATTATAAAACCGGCATCTGTGCTTGAGTATAATAAAGGTATGGGAGGCGTTGATAAACAAGACCAATTGCTAGCGTGCTTCCCAGTTATGAGAAAATGTGTAAAGGGTTATAAGAAAATGTTTTTTTATCTAATAGATATGGCCTTTTATAATGCTCATGTTTTATATTCTAAAATCAACTGCACAACCAAGGCAGGCATTACTTCCTTTCGTTTAGCTATTGCCGAAGAATTGCTGGAGCAATTGTCATTGCCAAATTATAAACGTCGTGGACGTCCGTCAAGTAGCGATACACCATTTCGTTTGGCAGCGAAAAATTGGGCGCACTTTCCTGAGAACATTCCGTCAACTAAGTCCAAGCAACACCCTGGAAAAAGGTGCCGTGTTTGTTATAAGCATAATATTAGGAAAGAGACTACGTGGCAGTGCAAACAATGCAAAGTAGCACTGCATTTACCTACTTGCTTTGAAAAATATCACACTCTGCATAATTATTAGTAATTGGTTTTTTGTTATAGCTTGAATTTATTTCATTTAGTTTTATTTTGTTGTTATTAATTAATTTTTGTTTTGCAATTCTAATTACTTGAAGGCATCTTAATACTACATATGTCACCAATATTTTAGAAATAAATAAATTCTTACGTAAAATGTACTGCTTTTACATACTACTCCAAGCAACCAAAAATTATATCCGTTCCACATGCAAATATTTTCTCAAATAAATCCGTACCCAAGGGGTTAACCTCCAAAAACTGAGCATTCATAAATTCTAAGGGGTTACATTTACCTGACAAAAATCAACAAAACTATAGTTTCTTAAAATGATACTACAAAATGGCTTTCAAAATGGCCTCCTACATCCAATTAACTTTTATTCGATCCCGGATGAGGATCCTACGCTCCCCAAACTGAACATCCACAGATTCCAAGCGATCACAAAAATAAAAATCATCCCAAACACGATCTACCCCCTTTCATCCCCCGAAAAATTTGAAAAACAGCGATCTTTCCTCCCAAGAACCGTTTTCTCATCGCCGACAGTTCCCAAAATCGCTCTTCCCTCGCGAATCCGATCGACCGTTGGCAAATCCTAGCCCCGCCATTTGTTCTCGCCGTTCTCATTCCGGCTCCAATCAGCCACGGAGACGCGTCCGTCGATTTCAGCCGATTTAGCGTGAATTTCGTTTCAGAAAAGCCACCGAAACGCGGCGCGATGAAGACCCAGGCGACCCAGACGGAAATCCCGGCCATGTTCCGCGGTCGAGTACCCGTCAGCCTCAGCCCGCGAACGATACACCGGGTGAAAATGGTGTCCCAGGGCGCGCAGACCAACGGCCTCTTCAACGGACGAAAACTGACGAAAAGTTACTCGGAGGCTGGCCAGCTGGGCACGCCGTTGGGCAGCGGTCAAGGTGGCGCCACCGGCAAGGAGGAAACGGAACACGAGCCTTTGCACAGGACGCAGAGCGAGGAACCCCCGAGGTCCCCGTTCCTCGTCGACACGCCGCCCCCGCACGCCGCCAGCACCCCCCTCGCCCTCGAGGAAGTTCTGACCAACGGGGACATCGAGCACATGGCGAACCTCGTGAGTCTTTAAATTGATACGGGGAACTAACTTTGATCATAGTCGAGAAATTGAATCGTTGCCTTTGGAAACGAATGCGCGAAAAATTGAATTATGAAAAATTGATCGCAATAGACGCGATTAATTTCACGCGTTAATTTTCAATATTAAATTCTACACATCGAGTGTATGAATCATTTATTCGTTCGATGGTTTGGGCGGTGTCGCGGGTGTTGTTGTCGTTGAATAATTTACACTGTTGGGATGAATCGGTAAATTTTATTGTTCGTCTATTGTACGAAGAGTCGTGAGTTGCCAATTGATACTTTGTTTCAACGTGAATTCGAAATAATTATCGAAATTGAAAAAACTTGATATTTGCTTGGTCGGTAAAACAGATGATTTCTTTGGATTTCGTAGCGTTTTCGTAATAATTTGGAATAGAGGATTTGGGACGTAAAGTTCGACGGCGTTGCTGTTCTTTCGTATTACAAAACCCATGCACGGAATATCCGATTGTCGCGCGCATCGTGCGGTGTTTGCCAGCCAAAGTTTCGAACTGTAAACTTACAATGGCCGTGTAGTAAAATCGCGGCGAAACTGTTCCGGGTAAATTCGCGTTAAATTATTGCCGCGACCGTGCTATTCGAGTCGAATCACATTGATTCTGTTACTTGGTGCAGCAGAGTCGGTTGGAAACGGGTCGTTCCAGTCGTCTCTGTAGCCGATACCGGCTTTTGATCGAGAGCAGGATATTACAGATTTCAATTTCGCCGCCGGTGAAGGATCGATCTAAAACATCCCGAATTATTAGATTGCGCATTTCGCATTGAATTAAACGTTCTCGACGCTTCCGTTCGGTTCGATTTTACATGCGAAATGTCAGCGTTGTCATAATGGGTATATCGATTTGGCGTTCGACGATTAAGCGTCTACGTTCAATTTCGAACCGGTCGACGGCCATTCGACGCGCAGTCGAAAGTTTCTCCTCGCGATGGCCAGCTCGAGTTCCAAACATTAACATGCAATGGGAAATCTAACTACTCGACAGTGCCTCAAGTTTGACGAAATGCAGAAATATTCGAATTTTGGTCATATTATTATGCAAATTTTCGTGAAAATTTTAAGCTCTCTGAAATTCAATTACGGGAATAATTTGAGAAAGTTTGGTGGAGCACTCAGAAAAAAGAAAAGACATTTATATTATGCTAAGTTTCTCAGAAAAGTCGTATACAAAATATAATCTACCATAATCTTTAAATAACTATTATACAATTTTTTTTAAATTCGACCATCTTAAACATAGCTTTTTATACCGATATCATGAATTTTAAGAAAGATTTGAGAAGGTTTGGTGGAGCAGTCACGCAAAAAAAAAAGAGATTTATAATGTGCTAAATTTCTGATAAAAATCGTATCAGAAATTGATCTACCAGAATTTGAAAATGAAAGTTATACGATTTCTTAAAATTCGACCCACTTAAACTCAGTCTTTCATACCGATTTCATGAATTATAAAATTTGAGAGGGTTTGGTGGAGCACTCACGAAAGAAAAAAGAGATAATTTACTAAGTTTCCCAAAAAAATCGTATCAGAAATTGATCTAGCAGAATTTTCAAATGAAAATTATACGATTTCTTAAAATTCGACCCACTTAAACACAGTCTTTCATACCGATATCATGAATTATAAGAAAGATTTGATAATATTTGCTGGAGCACTCAGAAAAAAGAAAAGAGATTTATAATGTGCTAAATTTCTCAAAAAAATCGTATCAGAAATTGATCTACCAGAATTTTAAAATGAAAGTTATACGATTTCTTAAAATTCAACCCACTTAAACTCAGTCTTTCATACCGATTTCATGAATTATAAGATTTGAGAGGGTTTGGTGGAGCACTCACGAAAGAAAAAAGAGATAATTTACTAAGTTTCTCAAAAAAATCGTATCAGAAATTGATCTAGCAGAATTTTCAAATGAAAATTATACGATTTCTTAAAATTCGACCCACTTAAACACAGTTTTTCATACCGATATCATAAATTATAAGAAAGATTTGATAATATTTGGTGGAGCACTCAGTAAAAAGAAAAGAGATTTATAATCTGCTAAGTTTCTCAGAAAAATATAATCTATCATAATCTTTAAATAACAATTACACAATTTTTTTTAAAATTCGACCTGCTGAAACATAGTCTTTTATACCAAACTCACGAATTATGGATTCACATTACAGTTGATCTATAAAGTAGGTTTAGATCTATTTAGTAGGTAGTGATCTATAATTCTACATTTAATATCAATCGTAGAATAGTCGAGCACTCGAGTTCAACGTAGAATTTTGACAGAAGGTCTGCAACTGTGTGAAAATTGTTCGCCACACCGTAGTCAAAGCGCCGTACCAAATTGAATGGGATTAATTAATTTATTTCGGGGGGCACGTGTTCTACATAAATCAACGAAGCCCCCGTAGCCGTAGACAGTCGATTCCACTCGGTTAACAAGGATGGCCGAACAAGAATCAAATTTCGAACCCATTTATGGCAGATTGTAATGGTACCGTGATCGAATTACTGTCTGGTAACAAAATAGACGTGGCGGAGAGCAAAAGCTTGTTAGTGTACTGTAATTAAAGGACACACGTCGTTGCGGATATTAACATATTGATCGATGCTTCGCGTTCCGTCATCTTTTCGTCCGGTTTTACGAATGGCGACCAGCGTTTGTTTCCCCAAAACAATTTCAATCGTACCGCGCTATCGATCAAAGAAAATGGAGAATGTAATACCGCTTCAAATAAAATTCTTAGCGATAAATTTAAACGAGAAGCAATTACCAGGCGGAGGAATAAATTAGAAACGTAACCTTGCCCGGTGTGTCGTTAAGAATTCGCTTTCGACCGTTTCCTCGCGAAGTGGGGCACGAAAGGCAATTGTTCGGAAACTGGTGCCTCGCCACTCTGCGTTTAAACTTCTCTTGTTCAGCCTGAAGATCGACGAAGGTCCGTCGACTTGGAGGACCAAGAGATCCTCATAGACTTTAAGCCAGCGCCAGTGTCGCCGGATGCCCGCGCCCTCCTCAACCGGATATCCCAGTCGACGATGAGGTTTCTGCCGTTGCAGAAGACCCTCTCCGACGGCGAGATCCGCGTGGAGAGACGCGAGCTAGTTGGCGAGGCCGGCGAGCCCAGCTATCCTCACACCTGCAGAAGGAACCACCAGGACCCCTGGGGCAGGACCGTCAGAGCACCCGTCCAATTCTCCTCCACGCCAGAGGAACTGTCCTTGCTCAGGGTAGTTTCGCCCCATGACGATCCCCCCGAAGAGGCAAGTAATTCTTTCAACCATTAAACCATCAAATCCTTCGAAATAAGTTAGGAGAAATAGGAGAAAATGTTAATAGATTTTCTATAATTACGTGACACACTTGGGTAAAAAATTGTTATGTAAGCAACAGGGCATGATCTTGTGATTCTGAAGAATTAATCAAATTTTGTAGCTCTAATAGACGTTTGAATACATTTTCAATCACTAAGGGGACCACAAAAGGCAGGAGAAATAGGGAAAATCTCGTATTTTTAAAGAAATGATCATTTTTAAGGAGGATCTCTTTTAGATAGAGCTATTCCTCTCCATATTTTGATTTATGCTTTCATCTTCTAACTACTTATACCTCCTATGATGGTCACGAGTCATTGCACCTCCCTTTTTGGAGCAAACTTTTAATTTCTGTTCAACTTTGGATTCATTGTGGTCCTTAGGGATGTATTAAACGTATCTCAAAGAATTTTTTAATATTTTGTAAATTGTTGACACTGAGTGCTACCTGTAAATTCCTAATTTCCACAATCTTTATTCGTAACTTCGCTCAATTTATTCTATGATTACTACAACTAGGTTTACTATGTCTCATGTACTTGCTTACGTAATCTTTCTGCCCCCCTTATGTATGCATATGTTTATTCACCTCTATGGAAACTCGTACTGATAATTCCAGCATAATAAATGAATAAATAAGATAGACATAAAATTTGGACAATTTTGATTTCAATAGGATCGATAGGTTTGTTTACAAAAGGGAGTACTTTGAATGGAAATCCTATCCAGATAGCCCCTCGTGCGTCGCCCCCCGTATCTCCGTAAACGGGAGGGTTCCTAACCCAGACCACCTTCATTGTGATCCTCGAAGCATAAGCCTCCGAACAAGATACGACACATTCCCCCTGGTCATTGTCCCAATAACCAAAGTCTATATATCAATATTGACAGCCCCTAGGAATGTGGTTGTCATGGAAATCCGTCCACGAAAATAGCTCTTCTTTAGCTTCCATTAAACAAACTATGAGGACTAAACAAATACACGTGCTTATTAGTCGACTGCGGATGTTTATGCATTTATGGGAAATTTTTAACGAAATACTGGGGGATAAATAGCTCTTCTTTAGCTTCCATTAAACAAACTATCAGGACTAAACAAATACACGTGCTTATTAGTCGACTGCGGATGTTTATGCATTTATGGGAAATTTTTAAACAAAATAGCGGAGGTTCAAAATGGCGGTCAATTCACTTTTATTCGATCGTAGATAGGATTCCCTCCAAAACTGAGCATTCACAGATTCTAAGAGGTTTTAGGCCTTTGGCTGACAAAAATCACCAAAATTATAGTTTCTTAATTATGATATTATAAAATGGCCTCTTACGTCCAATCGACTTCTATTTGTTCGTAGATAGGATTCCTAACCTCCAAAACTGAGCATTTACAGATTCTAAGAAGGTTTAGGCCTTTGACTGACAAAAATCAACAAAATTATAGTTTCTTAACCCTTTGCACTCCGAATTATATTTGAATTTTGTTACCCAGCAGCTCCCAACGCTTTCAAGTGTTTTATTTGAAATTTACTAAAAAATAGGGAAACTTAAACAAATAGAGGAACAAACAAATTCAATCAAATATCTGTTTTATTTGTACTATTGTTGTATTTTGTAATTTTGCAAGTGTATGATATATCTTTGGTTTGAATTTGAGAAAATGTCGAGTCACACTCGACATAGGAGTGCAAAGGGTTAAAATGATACTATAAAATGGCCTTTTATGTCCAATTGACTTTTATTCGATCGTAGATAAGATTCCTAACCTCCAAAACTGAGCATTCACAGATTCTAAGAAGGTTTAGGCTTTTGGCTGACAAAAATCATCAAAATTATAGTTTCTTAAAATGATATGATTATAAAATGGCCTCTTACGTCCAATTGACATCTATTCGATTCTAGATAAAGTTCCTAACCTCCAAAACTGAGCATTTACAGAATCTAAGAGGTTTTAGGCCATTGATTTTGGTTGACAAAAATCCAAAACTGAGCATTTACAGAATCTAAGAGGTTTTAGGCCTTTGATTTTGGTTGACAAAAATCTTCAAAATTATAGTTTCTTAAAATGATGTTATAAAATGGCCTCTTACGTCCAATTGACTTTTATTCGATCGTAGATAAGATTCCTAACCTCCAAAACTGAGCATTCACAGATTCTAAATCTTCAAAATTTCTCAAGAAACAACAGAATCTACTTGATATATAAAAAGATTAAAAATACTTCGTTAAAATATGAATTATTATATCAAGAGAATTCTAACCTCTCCAAACTGAGTATTCGCAGATTCTAAATCTTCAAAATTTCTCAAAAAACAACAGAATCCACTTAATATTTAAAAATATAATAAATACTTCGTTAAAATATGAATTATTATATCAAGAGAATTCTAACCTCCCCAAACTGATCATTCGCAGATTTTAAACCTTCAAAATTTCTCAAAAAACAACAGAATTCTCTTAATATTTAAAAATATAAGAAATACTTCGTTAAAATCTGAATTATTATATCGAGAGAATTCTAACCTCCCCAAACTGATCATTCGCAGATTCTAAACCTTCAAAATTCCTCAAAAAACATCAGAATCCTCTTAATACGTAAAAATATAAGAAATACTTCGTTAAAATATTATTATATCGAGAGAATCCTCTACGAAGCTCCTATTTCGTAAATCCTATAAACAAAAGCCTGAATTTGCATAGAGATCCCCAGTCTGCTTATAATTTTTGGCCATTCTACGAGCCTACAAAAATTCTCGAGCCATCTTTTAACCACTATGGCCTCAGAGTTCGACAGCGATTCATGTCCTCATATTTACGAGCACTATAATGCACATGTGGTCCGAAAAGGTTAACCGAAAACGTGGCTCGGTGTTTTTGTGGGGTTAATGACTCTTTCAATGCTGTTCCCGATTGATGGATCAGTTGTTATGGGAATCGCGGGTCACCTGGCATTTATGTAACCTTCCTCGATACATTGCCCCTCTTCCGCCCTCTTGAGAAGCTGTCAGCCGCCATGTTTCTCGATATCGTTGCAGGAGTTTCACGAGAATCTCATCCGGCGAGGACTTTTCCGCAAGAGAAGCGTATCGCTCGAGGATGGCGTGCAAGGTTTGACATCGGATGACTTTATGCTGCCCAGATCACTCCCCACGTCCCCCACGTCGCCGACCGCAGTACCAAGTATGAAAAATCATTTCCTCACCGTTAGCTTCGCAGCCCCCGGTCGACGTTCGCGAGAAGTTTCCGCGATAAATCGCGAACCGTTCACCGCGAAACGAGTACAATTTAAAATTGTTCGAGAACAAGCGAAACGTTTATAACGATCGCGTTTATATCGAATTAATTTTTCGATTCGTTTATCGCTAACGAAATTTCGCTACCGCGCAAAGCGTATTCGATCATCGAGGACAGTCGACGCGATTTTAATTCGTTGTTAGCTAATTTGTCGCGTTAATTGATAGAATGGCTTTCCCGCCGAGTTAATTTCGTTCGACGGGTTTTGTCAATATGGACGTTGGTTTTGTAAAATTATCGACCAGCTTATAGAAAACGTCTGGAACTGTTAAAATACCATCTCTAGAAACGAATGCTCCATCCAAAGATTATCTTCCCTGCACTCGACTAATTGTAAATATTGATGTGACAAATTTTTTTTGCATGATACCCTCTAAAAAGTGGGGCGCCATTTTCTTGAAAAGCGTCGAGCCAGCAAAACGATTCTTTTTTCATGGTTAGACCGTCGTTTCCGGATAAACATCGTTCGAAACGCGATATTTCAAGTCTGTTTACGACACTCGCCAACATTTACCGCGTTAATAGACGTAATTTACATTATTGGTCCCCTGAAAATCCTCATTAAATGCGTTCGATGGCGTATCCGGTATCGACGGGCTCTAAACTTCGCCGCGGCGTCGTCGATAACGTAATTATTGGATCACATATCATCGATGGTCTCTCAATAACTATTGCAGCTGTTTAGAGAACGTTCTATCAGCTGGAAAATGCATCCCCCCGGGGGGAAAGAACGATAATTGATTTCAAGAAAATTACGCCCAGCCTTACTCAAAATTCAACAACGAAAACTCTCTATCGCACGACCTACTCCAGCCCACATTTCATTTCTATTTTGGCGAATAAATATTGAAACACGGATCGATGAAAATATATCGAAGGTGAATGGAGAACATTAAGAACACTCGGTACGAATTAATTAAATCTAAAGTGTACTTGTCATCGTACAAATCGATCAAAAACGTTTCGACGAGCAACGTTGGCAAAAAATGCAATTTTTTTGCGATCGAGCATGAAAATATTGTTTTTTTTCCCCACGGTAACGAAAGTCTGTTATTAAAAATCGAAACGTGGTTCCCGATGTTCCAGCAACGCGAAGGATTTTGGAGAGTCCGCGGGATTATTTGTCGCCGTCGCATCTGTTGCGCCAACCGGGGCAGACCTGCCCGTTGCTTTTCAGTCCTGGGACCGTCATTTCCGGTCTGATCACGTCCCCGTTCGCCTCGAGCGATTCGTTGACCAACGACGTCACCAGGGACCACAGCGACGGAATTTGGAACGAGTCACAGGCGACTGTTCTCCAGGCGGACTCGTTGGCCCTTCTGACACCGTCCTCGAGGAGGAGGCACCTCCTGCTCCTCCAGCACCAGCAACGCTCCTCGATGGACACAGAGGCGCTGGATGCAGAGGAGATGATGGAGTCGCGACCATCCAGCCCCAGAATACGCATGGAACCAGCCACGCCAGTCCCGCCATTAACCTCGAGGTAAGTCATCCAGAGCATTCTTCATCAACTTGATGGTTTTCATCGAAATTTCATGGAAATTGAATCATATGGTGGCTTACTTAAACCCCTTAACGCTCATATTTTTCGGATTAACCAACAATGATCAGTAGACTGCGGATGTTTATGCATTAATGGGGAATTTTAATTCTCAAGAAACTACAGAATGCACTTAATATGCAAAAATATAAGAAATACTTAAAGTAAGATACGAATTATTATATTTAAGGGTTGAGGCAATCATCTACAAAGCTCCCATTTTATTAATTTCTTTGTTGGATTTGTTTCTAAAAATACGGTTCTTGTTAATTGCAATGTTGTATCTAACGTGTAGTTTAGAGGAAAACCAACATTATCGTCCCTTAAACCGTTGGGATTAAACAAATATTCTTTTTGCAAAGCAGTCAGACTCGGGCATGAACGTTAAGGGGTTAAATATTTGATTGGATAAACAGGAAATGGTCGATACACACTTTTTAAATCGTGTGTGAGAAGTTGAGGAACGCAGAGAAATTGAAATATCATTTTGTATCTTTTAGTAGATTAGATTCTTTATGAAAATTCATATTTTTATTAATAGGGTTATTGAAATGCTTTGTAGAGGGTTGCCTCAAAGCTTAAAATGTAATAATTCTGACTGTCGGTCGAGTGCTTGCGAGAAAGACGAGAACGTAGCCCTCTGGTGGCGACGCCTCACGTTTTCAATGTAAATCTAATCTCTAGCTTTAAATATGGATTTAGAACAGTTTTATAACTATCAATTCTTTGCTTTGACTTTGTACATTAAATTTAGATTACTATTATATTTTCCAAAAAATTATCAAACGCAAAATTTATGAATCAAAGGCCATATTAAATAATTGAAATGCTTTCTGGAGGGTTGCCTTGACCTCGAAATATAATAATTCTGACTGTCGGTCTGAGTGCTTGCGAGAGAGACGAGAGTGTAGCCCTCTAGTGGCGAGTACTGGAGGTGACGCCCACACGTTTTAGATTTAAATCTAATCTCTAGCTTTAAATACGAATTTGGAACAATTTTATAACTATCAATTCTTTGCTTTGACTTTATACATTAAATTTAGATCACTATTATATTTTCCAAAAAATTATCAAACGCAAAATTTATGAATCAAAGGCCATATTAAATAATTGAAATGCTTTCTGGAGGGTTGCCTCGACCTCGAAATATAATAATTCTGACTGTCGGTCTGAGTGCTTGCGAGAGAGACGAGAGTGTAGCCCTCTAGTGGCGAGTACTGGAGGTGACGCCCACACGTTTTAGATTTAAATCTAATCTCTAGCTTTAAATACGAATTTGGAACAATTTTATAACTATCAATTCTTTGCTTTGACTTTATACATTAAATTTAGATCACTATTATATTTTCCAAAAAATTATCAAACGCAAAATTTATGAATCAAAGGCCATATTAAATAATTGAAATGCTTTCTGGAGGGTTGCCTCGACCTCGAAATATAATAATTCTGACTGTCGGTCTGAGTGCTTGCGAGAGAGACGAGAGTGTAGCCCTCTAGTGGCGAGTACTGGAGGTGACGCCCACACGTTTTAGATTTAAATCTAATCTCTAGCTTTAAATACGAATTTGGAACAATTTTATAACTATCAATTCTTTGCTTTGACTTTATACATTAAATTTAGATCACTATTATATTTTCCAAAAAATTATCAAACGCAAAATTTATGAATCAAAGGCCATATTAAATAATTGAAATGCTTTCTGGAGGGTTGCCTCGACCTCGAAATATAATAATTCTGACTGTCGGTCTGAGTGCTTGCGAGAGAGACGAGAGTGTAGCCCTCTAGTGGCGAGTACTGGAGGTGACGCCCACACGTTTTAGATTTAAATCTAATCTCTAGCTTTAAATACGAATTTGGAACAATTTTATAACTATCAATTCTTTGCTTTGACTTTATACATTAAATTTAGATCACTATTATATTTTCCAAAAAATTATCAAACGCAAAATTTATGAATCAAAGGCCATATTAAATAATTGAAATGCTTTCTGGAGGGTTGCCTCGACCTCGAAATATAATAATTCTGACTGTCGGTCTGAGTGCTTGCGAGAGAGACGAGAGCGTAGCCCTCTAGTGGCGAGTACGAGAAGTGACGCCCACACGTTTTAGATTTAAATCTAATCTCTAGCTTTAAATACGAATTTGGAACAATTTTATAACTATCAATTCTTTGCTTTGACTTTATACATTAAATTTAGATTACTATTATATTTTCCAAAAAATTATCAACCGTAAAATTTATGAATCGAAGGCCATATTAAATAATTGAAATGCTTTCTGGAGGGTTGCCTCGACCTCGAAATATAATAATTCTGACTGTCGGTCTGAGTGCTTGCGAGAGAGACGAGAGCGTAGCCCTCTAGTGGCGAGTACGAGAAGTGACGCCCACACGTTTTAGATTTAAATCTAATCTCTAGCTTTAAATACGAATTTGGAACAATTTTATAACTATCAATTCTTTGCTTTGACTTTATACATTAAATTTAGATTACTATTATATTTTCCAAAAAATTATCAACCGTAAAATTTATGAATCGAAGGCCATATTAAATAATTGAAATGCTTTCTGGAGGGTTGCCTCGACCTCGAAATATAATAATTCTGACTGTCGGTCTGAGTGCTTGCGAGAGAGACGAGAGTGTAGCCCTCTAGTGGCGAGTACTGGAGGTGACGCCCACACGTTTTAGATTTAAATCTAATCTCTAGCTTTAAATACGAATTTGGAACAATTTTATAACTATCAATTCTTTGCTTTGACTTTATACATTAAATTTAGGCTACTATTATATTTTCCAAACAGTTAACCGTAAAATTTATGAATCAGAGGCCATATTAAATTATTGAAATGCTTTGTAGAGGGTTGCCTCGACCTCGAAATATAATAATTCTGACTGTCGGTCTGAGTGCTTGCGAGAGAGACGAGAGCGTAGCCCTCTGGTGGCGAGTACGAGAAGTGACGCCCACACGTTTTAGATTTAAATCTAATCTCTAACTTTAAATACGAATTTAGAACAGTTTTATAATTACCAATTCTTCGCTTTGATTTTATATATTTTTAGACTACTATTATATTTTCCAAAAAATTTTCAACCATAAAATTCATGAATCAAAGACCATATTTATTAAATACTGCCGTAACTGTTTAGCCAGGAAATTGAGTGACTCCACAGCACCCAAAATGTCTCGATATTGGACCATCCATTATCTAAATATGTACAGTAATTAAATCAACAACGGTCCCTAAATTACACATTTAATTATCGCTGTCAGACGAATATGCAAACAAATTAATTGCCCCGGGTAAACCAAACATGCAAAACGGTCCACCAGGGACGGGTCTAAATAATTTTTATCGCCACGAATTATATTTTCTTCGAAATCAAAATATCTCGACTGAATCTGGTGTGAAATCGTTGCATGGAAAACACGAATTATCCTATTAAAATTTGAGTATCCAAACCTCCAGACGGTGAAAGGTGGAATAGGTCCCTCGACGGGGCAAATGGTCCAAAGTTTCTCGTTCCTCGTTCATTCTTTCGTTGACTCGACCCTTGCAATAAGAGTCTACAATTCAGACAAGTAGTTTTTGAACGAACCCACTTTTTTTAAACAGCATTAAACATCACAATATCTGGAACTAATTTTCCACTATTCTGCCTCTACAATTTCAAGTTGGTCCATTAAAAGAACTACTGGTTCTAACCGTAGACTGCTCAGGTCAAATTTTATTTCTATATTATCTTGCAATAGGAGTCTACAATTCAGACAAGTAGTTTTTGAACGAACCCACTTTTTTAAACAGCTTTAAACATCACAATATCTGGAACTAATTTTCCACTATTCTGCCTCTACAATTTCAAGTTGGTTCCATTAAAAGAACTACTGGTTCTAACCGTAGACTGCTCAGGTCAAATTTTATTTCTATATTATCTTGCAATAGGAGTCTACAATTCAGACTAGTTTTTGAACGAACCCACTTTTTTTAAACAGCATTAAACATCACAATATCTGGAACTAATTTTCCACTATTCTATCTCTACAATTTCAAGTTGGTTCCATTAAAAAGCTACTGGTTCTAATCGTAAACTGGTCAAATTTTATTTCACGGAAGCATTAAAATACAGAGTGCTTCCATGGAAGCAACGTTTCTAAAAAATTGACGACGACCATATACGCCATTAAGGAACGTGTTTCATTTTTAAAGAGCCTTTGCTTTCGCTGAGAAATTCTTGGAATATTCTCCGGATGGTCCCCCGGGAGCCCCGAGGCAATTTCTTTCAGTATTGTTGCAATCATATTTGTAATTTTCCGTCGGGGATCTGGCGCCTCGTGTGACGGCGACGGAACGGAAGAGCCATGCAATTTCAGGCTGCTAAAGATGACGAAAGAACGTGTTTATGATACGAGAACGACACACTGTGCAGGATCTCGGGCGGAAAATTGAAAATATAATTGCAATGCTACTGTGGCAACGCACCTTGGGGCTCTCGAGACTATCTGGAGAACATTTCGAAAATGGTGGAAAGTTGGGACACTTTGGAGAGAAACTACACTGTTATAAAGTGTTTCGTTCAATTGGGTCTACGGTCAGAATTTTCAATCAAGCAAAACTGATGTTTGAGTCTACTCTGATTGATGAAACTCAACATTTGAATTTGTCCCTTTGTTAATCCAGATTTTATAATAATCGAGGCTACACTCGTCGTGAAGTTTAACATTCACACTTAACAATCACCGCATCGTTCGATCGAGTCATTGAATACGTTTGCACGGTTCGAATTTACGCCAAAATTATAATATCGACGAAAGCTAGAGCTATAATTTAATCAATTTAATTTTCAAATTCTTTTCATACAAATGAATTTTTTGCAATATTAATATTTTAGGATATAGATCACAGGTACTCTGGTAATTTCTTTTATTCAGAGTTCGATTCTTCCACGAACAGCGGAATAAAAAGTTGGACGTTCCATTTAATGCATCGAAGATAACGCGTAAAAAAGCAAGCTAGCGAAAAAAGCGAATCATACATCACCGCGTCCCCATGATAGGAGGAAATGCAACTTCTGTACGAAAACATTTTACACGCAACAGTTGATTTAAGGGCCATTTCGAGTGGAAAAGTTGAACGTTTCATCCTTGCGCGTAAATCTAGCGGGGATGACGCAACGCGAAGGGAAAATTATGATACGCAAAGAATCGACGGAACTTTGCGAGTTCAAAGCTTTTTCGTTAACTTTCGAGAAATACTCGAGAAAGCTCCAAACTCTCAACTACAAATATTGTGTCTTTTAATAAAAATTCGAGAAGCTTCAGTTTTGCACAAAATCGTGTAATTTTGTTTGGTTCGTGATTAAATTATCTTTTCAGTGTTCGATATTATGGTTGTATTGTAAATTTGGACCGTGTAAATCAGTGGTTCTTAACCTTTTCGAGACATTCTTACTCTTGGGTATTTTCTGTAGGATTTTCCAATAAATTTTAATTCAAAATTTCTATTATATATAATAAAATTTATTGATACCATTCATGTTGACGTTTACCTTAAAATACGATTTTTCTTTTAGTTAGAATATGTATTCATGGCCATTGCATCAATGAAATTCAATATGAGTTGTTAAAATATAATATTTACGAGTTCTGCAATTTTAAATATGTAAATCTAATGTTAATTCGTGCAGTTCGTCTAAGTCCACTGGAAAAATTTTAAGGGAATATTGCTGGCTTAAAGGAAAGTGTTTGTAACCAGCATGATCAAAAGATCACACGGCCATAACCCGCTCCCTTTCCATATCGCCAAGAAAGGGTACTTGTTTCACCCAATATTGCAAATAAAGACATTCTCTCTTGGGTCTTCTTCCCGATCGAGTCTAGAATATTCCAGTAACGCGACTCGACCCGGGAATAAAAAGATACGGAAACCCAATCTTGGCTTCGAATTGCAAAAAGAGACATTTTCTATTGTGATCTTCAATATTCCTAACACAGAAACTCCTGTTACTCGTGCTAACCAGTCAACTGCAGCGACCTCTTTTCACAGCACTTGTTCGTTTTACGTAGTTTTCACCTCCAAAGATTCTAAACACATTGAAATTTACTATATTTTAGTTTTTACTAAAATTACAATTTAAACAGCAAATGGTAAATTTTACCATTAACCACTTAAACACAATGGTAAATTTACCATTAAATTAATAAAGTAATCGACGGATGTAATAGTCAAATACAGTCGACTGGTCAACATGTTCACCACGAAATGAAAACTGCAATTTTCCTGAAGACTAAAATCTTGATTCCAGATCATTGTAATCTGCATAACCTAAGTTACTTATTTTAAGTTTGCTGAAATCCCAAATCCTATCCTTCATCGACATCTCAACTTGAGAATTTATCTAGTTTCGCAGTGGAAGATCCGATCGCCCGTATGTGGGTGGCAGTAAAAAGTCAAAGTTTTAGAGAAAAAGTTTCATACGGGTCATAAATGGCCCGGCTGTTCGATGGTCTCGAGAGGTTAAGAACCGCTGGTGTTTAACGTAGCCGTTCATTGACTGTCAGCCCCGTGGTAGAGACACCCCGTGTAAAACCTGAAGGCGATTTTTAAAGGCAATTACTCCTCAGCGTCGAATCATCCATCACGTCGAGCAACGGTAGATCGAGGAGCGGGTTCCGTCGTCCGAGCCCCGGCCCGCCGTTGTCGCAGCCGCAGTCGCAATCGTCCAGCGAGTTCGGCATGAGCCTCGCGCGAACGGATTCCGGGGGTCGTACGAACACCGACCTATCCGAGACCTCGACCACGGAGGACTACGTCACTGCCAACACGTCCACAGAGACTGGGACCACTACCGGGACCTCCGCCACGACCAGCTCCTGGTCCAGGCCCCCGCAGACGTCGAGCGCCGCGGCGTCCGCCTCCGCCACCGCCACAGCCGCCGACGGAAGCTCGTTCGAGAGCGCCAGCTCGATATACAGCCTGGCTCGAAGCGAGGTGAGCATTTTAAATCATTTTCTTATCTGTTAGGAAACATACTAAGGCCCCGTAATAATAAGTGTAGTGAAATCGACCTGAGAATAACAAATTTGTAATTTAATTTGGAGGGAAAGTCAAGGGGGGATTTTTGAAATTTTGTATTCTTGAAGACCTGCTAGTTGGGGCTCGTTGATGAGGTGTCGATGGCAGGTACTAAGGCCCTGAATTTGGAGGCTGAGATATTGGATAGTCGAGAAGCGTGTATATAGGAAAAGTGGATCGAATGCTTGCGAGAAAGCCAAGGGGGATTTTTGAAATTTTGTATTCTTGGGGGCCTGCTAGTTGGGGCCCATCGATGAGGTGTCGATAGCAGGTATTAAGGCCCTAAATTGGAGGCTGAGATATTGAACATTCGAGAAGTGTATAGTATATAGGAATGGAAGGTGGGTCGAACGCTTGCGAGAGAGAAAGTCAAGGGGGGATTTTTGAAATTTTGTATTCTTGGGGGGCCTGCTAGTTGGGGCCCATCGATGAGGTGTCGATAGCAGATATTAAGGAGCTGAATTTGGAGGCTGAGATATTGGATAGTCGAGAAGCGTATATATAGGAAAAGTGGGTCGCTTGCAAGAGAGAAGGTCAAGCAGGGATTTTTGAAATTTTGTATTCTTGGGGGCCTGATAGTTGGGGCTCATCGATGAGGTGTCGATAGCAGGTATTAAGGCCCTGAATTGGAGGCTGAGATATTGGGTAGTCGAGAAGCGTGTATATAGGAAAAGTGGATCGAACGCTTGCGAGAAAATCAAGGGGATATTTGAAATTTTGTATTCTTGGGGGCCTGATAGTTGGGGCTCATAGATGGGTGTCGATAGCAGGTACTAAGGCCCTGAATTGAAGACTGAGATATTGAATAGTCGAGAGGCGTATGTATAGGAAAAGTGGATCGAACGCTTGCGAGAAAGCCAAGGGGGATTTTTGAAATTTTGTATTCTTGGGGGCCTGCTAGTTGGGGCCCATCGATGAGGTGTTGATAGCAGGTATTAAGGCCCTAAATTTGGAGCCTGAGATATTGGATAGTCGAGAAGCGTATATATAGAGGAAAAGTGGATCGAACGCTTGCGAGAGAGACAAGAGCGTGGCCCTCTGGTGGCGAGTATCGAACAAGAATTCTGATAGTAAATTTTAGTAACTTCGATACGCGTTGTTGGAATTGAGAATAGGGTAATATTAACGGAGAACGATCGATTAAACAAATAAACGAAATAAACAATTTTCACTGTTGCACATAGTGAAAGTGTGTGTTTGGAAATTATTTTATTATTGCAGCTTTGGTTTCTCTGGCTCGATTTTGAATTAGACTGCGTATTAGTTCGGATAATCGACGTTCTAGCGTATTGACAATATATCACCTCTTTTTTTATCTACGACTCTTGAATATGATTGATACGCTCGATGGCGAAACTACAACTGTTATACGTCATAGTTCATTCTTCAACGAGTGATCGGTTTTTTTTTTTTATTATTTATCATGCGGCAAGCAGAGTCAACGAAAACATCGAGCAAGGGAGATGGAACAATAACACATTTTATTATGCGCGTGGCAACGATTTATAGTGGGTGACAAATTCGAATGTATCGAGGTATTAATAAATACTATTGAATAATATTTTAATGGAGAATTAATAAAGTTGCAAGTAACTACATCGGGGATTACGATTTTTGATCAAATTTAATGGTAGGTTCCAAACATTAAATTCTAACAAAAATAAATTTCAAATCAGAAATTTTTCGGTAAAAAAAAAATTCAGAATCGTTCTAAAAAAATTATTTTCAGTTGCGGGGGTCAATTAAGATCATTTTTGGTCAATACACATACCCTCGAATTCCTACGGACTTTCGAGAAAAAAATTCAAATAGGTGGTCAAATTTTCCGATAAAAAAAAAATTTCAAATTGTTCTAAAAAAATTAGTGTTAGTTGCGGGGGTTAATTACAATTATTTTTGGTGAATAGACATACCCTCGAATTCCTACGCACTTTCGAGAAAAAAATTCGAATATGTGGGCAAATTTTCCGTTAAAAAAAAAACTTCAAATCATTCTAAAAAAATTATTTTTAGTTGCGGGGGCCAATTACAATCATTTTTGGTCAATAGACGTACCCTCGAATTCCTACGCACTTTCGAGAAAAAAATTCGAATAGATGGGCAATTTTCTGCCAAAAAAAAAAATTTCAAATCGTTCTAAAAAAATTATTTTCAGTTGGGGGGGTAGATTACAATCATTTTTGGTGAATAGACATATCCTCATAATTCTACACACTTTCGAGAAAAAAATTCTTTACCGAAAATACAATGTCTGACCATATATTAGACGATTCCCCTGAAATTTCATGCGTATGTTTAAAAAATCATAACTCCTGAACGGATCGAAGGATTTTAATGTTCCAAAAGGCAAACGAAGCGTATTTTAGTGAAGAATATATAAAAATTCTAAGAATATTCAAAAAGTTGTTCCTTAACCCCATAAAAATGGCCCAAATTCCTCGTTTTTATCACTTCGTATCTAACTATGATCCAACTATCCGGCATATTTGATTTGCCTGCATTGCCCCGGTATGCTAATCGAAATTTGACTGTGAATTGAATATAATTTGATGAAACGTGCGTAAATATGTATCGTCTTTGAACGGTTTTAAAGCGTATTTAAAGAGGGAGAATTTAATTCTGCTCCAGAAGGGGTTAAAGTTTCCCTTCATAAAGTGTGTCCGCGGGAAGGCAAAGTTTGAGAAACACTGGTTTAATGAATGGTAACGCCGAGTATGTAGATCCACGTGGAACGGAATGTGCCAGGACGAACTCTTGTACGTCCGTTTTATTACATTTAGGTTACATACACCGCATCGTTCATGCCGGAATCCTTTTGATCTTCTGCCTCTCATTTTTCCCCGACAAACGTGACCGTACGTTGTCTGATAACCTCGAATGCTACCTGAAGTGTAACGAATAAACACCCTTAAACAAAAGTTTATCGTTCTTGACTCTCGACTCTTCGCTGCTGGCGTTATTTCAAATTTTTGAAAATTTTTTAAATTAAAAGTAAAACTTGATGGAAAAATTTCTAATCCAGCAATTTAACTTGGACGAACATCTTAAAACTCAAATATATTTCGATAATAATAAAAATTCGACCATATTCCAGCAAACTTGAAAACCACCAACATTCAACGAACAATGGACCTTTGAGAACCTTTATTACAGCAAACATATAAATAAACGATTTCTATAGGGCCCTTTTATTGGTAACACGATGCCACCGAAATGCTTGTCAAGAATTCTGAGACCAAGTGCCTCCATTACGTTAATTGACTCGTTCAGGGGGTTTGAAATATCACACGAAAAGGTTACAAAAATAGAATTGACATTTCGTCTTCGCCAGAGAGCTCGTCAATAAGGTTGAAAGTAACCACCGAACAAAAAAACCCACGAATAAACAACGCAATGAGAAATAAATTTTTAATTTAACAAATTTACGAAACTATTATTTTTATCCCAGTCCTCCTTACACATCCCGGAATGTTCGATGCTGGCCAAATTCCCTTTTGGCTATTTTGGCCTCTTTTGTGGCACTTTGTGCTCGGAATATCGCAGAGACACGTGGCTCATCGATGTCACGATGCAACGTCAGCAACATTCGAACCAATAATTATACCCATCGCGTGCACGGAGCAGATCGCTCGAGCCTCCATCGAGAATGCAGACGAGCAAACGTGCACGGCAATTTGGACGGTTTCCTGTCGCATTCGGTTCGATCTTACGAACCGGAACGTCGATATATCGACCATGTTTGCTCGAAGCTCCAGAAGATCATCGTTATTTAAATTTTCGTGCACGAGTTCAGCTTCTTTGGCTCGTGTCGATACTCCGCAAGTATGCCACTTTGCTTCACAGCCATTCTACGCTCGTGTCAGTCAGAGTTTCCCTCCGGAGGACAGTACAACTGCTTTGGCTGCTTATCGCTCAAACATTTATGCAAATATGGTCATATCGCCCGTGTTCGGTGTGTCGCTCGTGTATAATTATTCCTAATTGCCAGTTCGCGAAAGACCTTAAGCTCGTTCGATTCGATGCTCCCCTTTGGCCATCTGTCCTTTAATATTCGCATTCTTCGCGATATAACGACTCCACTCTCGAGGCAATAATCTTCCCTTTGGAATACCTAATTGGCGGTGCTTAATCCTTCATCATCGCGGCGTGTTGGTTCTCCGGCAAACTTGCCTTTCAAACGGAATATTATCTGTTTAAATCGCTGATGCTGACTGTCTATTGATCTTGGAACTTTCATCATCTTGTTGGAAAGAGTTGATTCCTTTTTAGATCTTGAAACTGTTGAGTTTCAGATTTGTGTTGTCTTTAATCCCAGATATTTCTATTAGTTACTCTGTGTGTATGTTTATATCAACGAAATCTTAGGTGAATCTGTGTTACAGGATCGTGGATTAAAATTAACATTGAAAGTGTCGTTTATTTCTTTTTGTGATTTCGATCTATTAGATTATAGTTTATTAGAAATAGTTGATTGAAACAGGCTTTTATGTGAGGATTTATTGAAATGTTTCGAGTTTTAAATTCGAGTCGTCTTTAAATCCCCTAAGTATTTCTATTAATTACTGTATGTATCTTTATATTACGGAAATATATCCAAAATTTCTGCGCCTCGTCGTCGTCGAGCAAACGCACCCAGTCGGTGGCCATTTTGGAGAACATCGACCGCCGTACATTTTCCACGAAACTAATCCAACTCGTAGAACGCAAACGTTCCCTTTGTCATGTTGGAAGATTAAACTTGTCGATTCTCCGAGGAAATCATAGTGTTTCGGTATTCGAGACTCGAGTATTTTAGTACTTGACCTCTGTTTAAGAGACACAGAAATCAATTGTCTCGACTGAAATTTAGATAATTGATGTTTCCACGAATGCAAATTTTTCTTTCTTTTCTGAAGATTTACACATATCCATTTTCTGAGGAAACAGGCTCTTATATGAAGATTTATTGAAATGTTTTGAGTTTTAAATTCGGGTCGTCTTTCATCCTAAATATTTCTATTAGTTATTCTGTGTATCTTTATACCAACGAACGCTTATATGAATTTGTGTTACAAGATCGTAGATTAAAATTAACATTGAAAGTGTCGTTTATGTGTTTTTGCCACTTGGATCCATCAGCTTATAGAAAAGAGTCGATTGAAACTCTTATGTGAGGATTTATTGAAATGTTTCGAGTTTTAAATTCGAGTCGTCTTTAAACCCCCTAAGTATTTCTATTAATTACTGTATGTATCTTTATATTACGGAAATATATCCAAAATTTCTGCGCCTCGTCGTCGTCGAGCAAACGCACCCAGTCGGTGGCCATTTTGGAGAACATCGACCGCCGTACATTTTCCACGAAACTAATCCAACTCGTAGAACGCAAACGTTCCCTTTGTCATGTTGCAAGATTAAACTTGTCGATTCTCCGAGGAAATCATAGTGTTTCGGTATTCGAGACTCGAGTATTTTAGTACTTGACCTCTGTTTAAGAGACACAGATATCAATTGTCTCGATTGAAATTTAGATAATTGATGTTTCCACGAATCGAATTTCGTAAACTGCTAATTTTTCTTTCTTTTGTGAAGGTTTACACCTATTCATTTCCTAAGGAAATCATTGTGTTTCGATATTTGAGCCTCGAAAATTTTAGTACTCGACCTCTTTTTGATTCGACAGTCGACAAGTTTCGACGATTGTTTGAAAGATACAGAAATCAGTTGTCTCGATTGAAATTTAGATAATTTATTTTTCTGGTCGATGGAGGACTCTGTTCCCTCCTTACACCTATCCATTTTCTGAGGAAACGAGCTCTTATGTGAGGATTTATTGAAATGTTTCAAATTTCAGATTCGAGTCGTCTTTAAACCCTCTAAATATACCAATGAACGCTTATGTGAATTTGTGTTATAAATCCTAGATTAAAATTAACATTGAAAATACCATTTATGTATTTTTACCACTTCGATCCATCAACTTATAGTAAAGAGTTGATAGACTTTTTTCAAACCTTGAAAGAGTCTCCTTTGTGAGGATTTATTGAAATGTTTCTACTCGTCTTTAATCCCAGATATTTCTATCAGTTACCGTATGCATCTTTCCACCAACGCTTACGTGAATCCGCGTTACGTATCGTGGATGAGAATTAATATCGAAAGTGTTATATTTTTCCTCTCTCATCATGAAACAGTAAGTTCGCAATTTCAGATGCATCTGGCGCGCCCGTTGCTCGCACAAGAGAAAGCAATCTGAGATATTTGCAGAGGGTGTATCTGTACCAAGAGTACGGTTGAATATCAAATACACGCGCCGTAAATAAAGAAGTCGGAAGAATCAGGGCGGATAATAACATTTTTACCGACGTCGTGAGCATAATATTGCCGTGACACGGTTCCGTTTATCAGATCGCTTTTTTTTATGATCAATGAGCGCCATTTGCAAGGAAACAGACAGACAATATTGCAAAAATCACATTTCCTCCTGTTTAACAAGAATTGCCTCAAGAATTCTTTAAATATTCCCACTGGCTTGCATATAAAAAGATTCGATGCAAAATAAACGATTTAACTTCTCGGGGAGAGAGAAAAAACCTGTTCGACGGCGAACACGGATATTTCTACACGCAAGAACGAATTCTTTGTCGAAGAATATTCCACCGGATGCTCGTGCATCGAGCAGGAGATTAAGCCAATCGTACTGAAAGATAAAATTCCGTGGGTATTCCGAGTTAGGCTGTTGTCGAGGAGCCGTGCAGCCCGCCACCGATACTGGAGGAAACGGAAATTCCATTCGGATTGGAGGTGCCGCCGTCCCCGGCCAGGTCCAGCAGCAGCAGCAGTTCAGGCAGTTACGACCTGAAAGACGCGATGACAGATCTGGGTCAGGAGCTAGAGCAGACTGCGCCTCTGAGCGGACACACCTCAGAAACGGAGCTGGATCGTGACGTAAGACGATAATTAAACTAATTCCGATCGCCCCGAGTTTACTCGGGTTCCCTCTCGAAATCAACATCTATTTACAAATTCCTGGAAGGGTGTCAATTACGCCCATTTTACCCAGCGGGGCACCGAATTCGACCGATTAACTGTCAAGAATTAACTTCTGAAACGCTGCATCTACCCTAGATTCGACGCTGATAGTCGTTCGAAACATGTTATAACGCGTGCACTGGCTAGTTAGACTGCAATAGTCATTAGTCATTAGTCATTAGGCATCCTCATCTTCATCGTTCGTCCCCTAAACACTCGTTGACTACTTTCGATATAGTAATTTTACTTCCTACTTTTGGGAATTTTTTTAGCGTTTAGAGCTATAATATCGTCTTGGTCGACGATTTTTCGAAAGGAGGAACTTCAAAAAAAAATAAAATATTAAAACATTATTTGATATAAAAATGTAATTAATAATTTGTGTTATAATTTAATCAATTTAATTTTTAAATTATTCAAATCTCCGAAACACCTTCAACTATAAAAAAAAAAAAAAATAGATACACTACATACAATGTAACCCTTTAAACCATACAACTTTTTCATGTAAAGTTTTTTTGTGCAAAGCATATTTAAAAAATTATAAAGTTGGTGGTTGCATGGACCACCCTGTACAGAGAGAAATAAAATTAAAAATGAAATTCAAAAACATAAATATAGCCAAGATAAGTCGATCCAAATAATCGTATTCTGCATCCAACATTTGTTTTGGCTTCGAATACCACCGAATTAAAAAACATTTTATTTAAGGGGACCTTGAGACCCTTTCGATCGATGAAATATCTTTCCAGGAAGGTCACCGTTCGTCTTCCGGGGGTTACGCGGAGTCACCGCCGGATCTACGCACCTGGAGCGAGGAGGAGCGTCGCAGACGACGGCGAAACTTCACCCTGGACTTCCTGGGCAGCGGGACGGAGGCTGAACGGGGCGCTGAGCTCTACACGGAGAACGCGGAGGTCAGCCCCACGCCTAGCCATCGTCACAGATTGCGGGGGAAGTCGACGAGCGCCAGGAGCCCGCACAGGAACAACAGGAAACGCGAGACGACCAACCAGCAGTCGACGCAGTCGCAACAACAGCAACAGCAGATCACCAGGAGTCCCCAGAAGGAGGATTGGAGGGTGGAAGCGGCCGAGGACGGCGGCCACGTGCCTACGTCGGACGATTCCAGCTGCAGTCATCATTACCACATGCACCATCACCATCATCATCATCTGCACAGGGAGGGAGCCGACGGGGCAAGGCACAGAAGAACCAGAGAGAGTCCACGGAAAAAGACTGGTGGCTACGTGTCCGCCAGGAGGAGGAGCAACGAGGTGAGCACACGGAGGTCATTGAATTTGCATGATCGGAGAATTTTAATGGCGGGATGAGAAATGCAAGTTTCAAACATGGAGAATTAGTACCGGAAACCCCCGGGGAGATTGGTATCTTGTTTGCTTGGTAAATTATGAAATACATGGAAGTCGTTGGGGGGGTTGGTTTCTATAGGTACTATGGAATGGAGGTTTCCAGTTTTATTTGGACAGGATTGTATGGTTTGATAGTAGCAGAGAGGCGAGGTTAGGGTTGGATTTGGGAGAGTTAAGAAGGGGAAAAGGAGAAAAGAGTAGAAAAGAGAGGAATGCCTGGAGTAAGGAACAGGAGACAGGTGGAAGTAGGAAATAGAGGACTTAAAAAATAGAAGATGAATGGTGTTATTACGAAGCCAATAGTGCCAGTATCGCAGCCAAAAAAATAGAAAATAGAAATAGACAGTAGTAGGAGTAAGTTTCAGAAATTTACTGGAGTAATTTGTATTAAATAATTTGTATTGGAGGAAGATCTTCAGGAGTTCTACGAAATATCCTGTTTGCTTGGTAAATTATGAAATACATGGAAGTCGTTGGGGGGTTGGTTTCAATAGGTAGTACGAAATGGAGGTTTCGAGTTTTATTTGGACAGGATTGTATGGTTTGATAGTAGCAGAGAGGCGAGGTTAGGGTTGGATTTGGGAGAGTTAAGAAGGGGAAAAGGAGAAAAGAGTAGAAAAGAGGGGAATGATTGGGGCAAGGAACAGGAGACAGGTGGAAGTAGGAAATAGAGGACTTAAAAAATAGAAGATGAATGGTGTTATTACGAAGCCAATGGTGCCAGTATCGCAGCCAAAAAAATAGAAAATAGAAATAGACAGTAGTAGGAGTAAGTTTCAGAAATTTACTGGAGTAATTTGTATTAAATAATTTGTATTGGAGGAAGATCTTCAGGAGTTCTACGAAATATCCTGTTTGCTTGGTAAATTATGAAATACATGGAAGTCGTTGGGGGGTTGGTTTCTATAGGTAGTACGAAATGGAGGTTTCGAGTTTTATTTGGACAGGATTGTATGGTTTGATAGTAGCAGAGAGGCGAGGTTAGGGTTGGATTTGGGAGAGTTAAGAAGGGGAAAAGGAGAAAAGAGTAGAAAAGAGGGGAATGATTGGGGCAAGGAACAGGAGACAGGTGGAAGTAGGAAATAGAGGACTTAAAAAATAGAAGATGAATGGTGTTATTACGAAGCCAATAGTGCCAGTATCGCAGCCAAAAAAATAGAAAATAGAAATAGACAGTAGTAGGAGTAAGTTTCAGAAATTTAGTGGAGTAATTCGTATTAAATAATTTGTATTGGAGGAAGATCTTCAGGAGTTCTACGAAATATCCTGTTTGCTTGGTAAATTATGAAATACATGGAAGTCGTTGGGGGGTTGGTTTCTATAGGTAGTACGAAATGGAGGTTTCGAGTTTTATTTGGACAGGATTGTATGGTTTGATAGTAGCAGAGAGGCGAGGTTAGGGTTGGATTTGGGAGAGTTAAGAAGGGGAAAAGGAGAAAAGAGTAGAAAAGAGGGGAATGATTGGGGCAAGGAACAGGAGACAGGTGGAAGTAGGAAATAGAGGACTTAAAAAATAGAAGATGAATGGTGTTATTACGAAGCCAATGGTGCCAGTATCGCAACCCCAAAAAATAGAAAATAGAAATAGACAGTAATAGGATCGAGTAAAACTGGAGTAATTCGTATTAAATAATTTGTATTGGAGGAAGATCTTCAGGAGTTCTACGAAATATCCTGTTTGCTGGTAAATAATGAAATACACGAGTCGTCGGTGCTTGGTCTGTACACATACTGCAAAATGGAGGTTTCGAGACCAGTTTCACTCGGTCAGGTCTGGTTCGAAAACACGAGGATCGAGTAAATTTCCGAAATTTACTGGAGTAATTCGTATTAAATAATTTATATCGGAGGAAGAACTCCAGAAATTGTACGAAATATCATCCAGTTTGCTGGTAAATAATGAAACACACGAAAGTCGCTCGGTCCGTACACACACTGCAAAATGGAGGATTCGAAGCCGGTTTTATACGGTTCGAGTAAATTTCCGAAATTTACTGGGAGCAATTTGTATTAAATAATTTGCATCGGAGGAAAATCTTCGGAAAATGTAGGAAATTCCATCGGGGGTAAACTTCCTCGGTAGTAAAATATGTATCAACGAGATTGTGGTTAACTGGGGCTAACGAAGAATTCCAAAGTACCTGGCCCGGGTGTCTACTGAATATCTAATATGGCGTACTTTCAACACCTGGTGCAGTTAATGCAGCGATATCTCAAAAATGAAAGTATCGCCAGGCCCGTGTTTATCGAAACCATTTTCGCGCCTCCGGGAGCATAGATAGTCTCGTGAATTTTTCAACGTCGCTTTTCAATTATTCCACCGGCAAAAAGCATCGAGCAATTTTCCATAGTTCGTTGCCTTTCCATCCAGATTTATTTTTGCACATTTTGCAATTAGCTTTCCACTGTTTGTACGGGTAAAAAAATTCACGAAAATAACTAATTTGACTCTAGATATAACGTATTCAAAGTCTTGTTGATTTATTTAATTTTATTATTGTAAAGGAAGGGTACAAACTAAGGCCTTTAAACTTTGTTATTTAATCTCTTTAAACTTAGAAAAGTCTTTGTTGATACGAACAATTACGAATATCAAATGCAAGTTTGTGACTTCTGAAAACAAAAGAAATCTCTTTTCCACGATAAATGCCTGTAATTTAAATTTTATTTGTATATTTTCTAAATTCTATTTGCATTATAATAAATGAAGCTCAAGTCGAGTTATGGTTCGTATTATATTAATATCTCGACGTATAAATAGTCATTGACTTGGTCAAAGTATTTATTAAAAATTCCCCAATGGAATTGATTCTAAATTCAGTTGTGTAATAATAAAAAAAAAAACAAAAATAGAAGTAAGGTATATTCACCAATATACTATTCAATGTAATGGTTTTGGTCAAAGTATTTATTAAAAATTCAAACCATTTACTAAAAATTCCCAAATGGAATTGATTGCAAATTCAGTTGTGTAATAATAAAAAAAAAAACAAAAATAGAAGTAAGGTATATTCACCAATATACTATTCAATGTAATTGTTTTGGTCAATGTATTTATTAAAAATTCCAAGTATTTACTAAAAATTTCCCTATGGAATTAATTATAAATTCAGTGATATAATAATTACAAAAAAAAAAAGAAGTAAGATATATTCACCAATATACTATTCAAGGTAATTGTCTTGATCAAACCATTTACTAAAAATTCCCCAATGGAATTGATTCTAAATTCATTGATATAATAATAACAAAAAAAAAGTAAGGTATATTCACCAATATACTATTCAATGTAATCTTCTTGACCAAACCATTTCCCAAAAATTCCCCAATGAAATTAACTGTAAATTCAGTGGTGTAATAATAACAAAAAAAAGGAAGCTAAGCATGGAGGACGACATTTAATATTTTAATCGATATTTGGTCCCACGGGGGGGGGGGATATTTAAAAAAATAAATGAGGTTCCCAGTACGAGGGAGGATTAATCAGATTTGTCGGATTATAATTAATTCGTCGAGGAATCGTATCGTGTCGCGTGTACGTTTAATCCCGCGTGCATTTTTCTGGAACAATCGAGGCGTAAGGGGGGTAGTATCGGTGCGATATGAGAGCATGATGTCCCTGTTCCCCCATATAGGACAAGAACGCAGCCATAACAGGCAGCCTGCCACGAAGAAGATCACGCGCTGCGGACGACATAATGTGTTCGAGGCTGAGTCCAGGCCGTTATCAACGCAGTCCAGGACACAACGGACAACGAGCGATGATTGTGGAGGCGCAGAGCCCAGAAGCGAGATTAAAAGCTCTTTCAGCGGAGTCTTTGAGGTCTGTCAGTCCGGGCAGCGACAGTGTCTTTTACAGCGAGGGCGCGGACCAATGTCTCACTGTCAGCGCCCTGGAGGCCCTACAGTGCCATCACTGCGGCAGAGAGGTAAATTATTTATTGTTTATCAAACCCCCTTTACTCGCCAAGGAAACGAACGTAGCGTGACGATCGGTAAAGCTATTCTTTTGGTAGAAATCGCATAGCAAAGGACGAACGTAACGCTTTTAGTGTAGTTAGTTGTTGCTTCAGTCTCGAAATCTCTTCCTTTCCTCCTACTTCTGTATTTTTTTAAACGTAACAACTCAAGACAGATGATAGAAAATCTATAATAAATTGAGAAATTAGAAATTCCAAGCGATGTAAAATTTTGTTATCGAAACGTGGTAAGTGGACTGCGGGTATTTTCATTCTGAGAAACTAGAGAACGCGTTTAGTATGCAGAAAACACAATATGACAAACGTCCACGAAGCCTCCCATTTCACTGATTCTGCTAATAAAAATATGAATTTGCATTAAAATTCGCGGTCTAATAGAAACTCTAGCACTAGATTTACGGATGTCAGATTCCATATTTTTTAACAACTTATATTCAATTTGTTTGATGCAATGGTTAGAAGAAAAATCGTATTTTAAGGTAATCGTCAACATGAAAGGTATCGATAAATACACGTGTGATCAATGCCCGTAAATCTAGTGTTAAATAGAAATTATCGTGGTGTTAGAAAGCGTGGAATGTTTCTGAATTCGTTCGAACTGTAAATTGGAAACGATATCCAAGTGGATGTTTAACGAAAGAAAAACCTGCAAGCTGAGATCGATCTGTCTCTCTATCTATCGGTCTATCTACCTCTTTTCTCTATCGTGCGTGCTGCCATGTTGCTCCACCCCGAGGTCTCGGAAGAGATCGTTCGACCGCCGGCAGGTTTCGCGGACTCCCCGGAAGGGCACAGGGCGTCCTCGAAGCACGTGGCCGGGCACAGGCTGTACAAAAAGTTCGACAAAAGGTACCGATCGGAGGATCGCGGTGACAGGAGGCATCGACGTAGCAGCGGCGGCAGATCGGACGTCAGGGCGAAATCCGAGGAGAGGGCTGCACCCAGACGTGGGAGCAGAGGATCGATCGACGAGACGGCCGCGGGCAGGAAAAGGCTTCAGGCGAGGAGCACGGACATCAGTTTGGAAATTCTTACAGGTTAGATCAATGGATCTTCCTCCGTTCACCCGGTGGAGCGTAATTTTTTCATTATTTATAGTATAGAAAGTTGTGTTTTGAAGTTTAATTTATTTGGCATATTTTTTCTTCAAGCATGCATTTCAAGAATCCGAACGTGCATTAGTACTTTAGCTTCGTGCGGAATATTTACAAACTATGTCGAGAATTTTTTCATTTTGATCAGATAGAAGATGAAACGTTCTTGAGAATGAATTTTGTTTCTAGTCGATGACGTGGTTAACTCTGGAGAAAACAATTATTTACGGGGGAAAAATGGCATAGTATTTCTGAGAAGATCCTGCATACAAATTTGAATTCGTTTTCAATTAAATAAACAATTTTTATAATACAGTTTCATCGCAAAACAGTCGTATAATTAATAGGAATTGTTGAAACTTCTTTGGAGATGTAGGGTCAAAGTAAATGACAAAATAAACATAGAAGACAGCATAAATAATAATAGTTGTTAGGTTCGTTGGATAAGGGATGAAATGCCCTTTAAAATGAGCGTTCGAACCAGTCGATAGCGTAATTAGTTCCGGAGATATGAGGATTTTAGTTTCAAGTCGTTGCGGTGGCTAGTTTCGGAGATACGAGGGTCCGAAGCGTTTGTTTACGTTCACTGACTCGAGGTCAATGACCTTGCGCGTAAATAGTAAACAGTAATTCAACGCTATGCGTCAGACGAAGACAAAAAAAATTACCTTTCACATAAATTACGATATCTCGGAAACGGAAAGTCCGATCGACAAAAACCAAAAACCATTTTAAAGGGGAAGGTTCACCGCTTCTAACAATACCTTAATAATGAATAAAGTACTAGTAGTTTCGGAACTACACACGTCTAAAGTTTTACTATTTTTAATACGCGTTGTTAGACTGTTCCAAGACACTGGAAACTGGAAAATTCTCTCCTTTCATCTTTACTATACATATATTTCCTTTTTACATCGGAAGCAAAGTAATTTTGTTTAAAAAACAAAAAATATAAATCATTCGTAGCAGGCAAGACAGACTACATATTTCTCTCAGAAAAGAAGCAATGAGAATAGAAGTGAATATTATAAAATTCATTGTACGTATACTATAGGAAATATCGCGAAGCAAAATGGCGCTAAAATATCATTCTGTTAGAAATTTAAACCAGACTTCTGTCAGGTGATGAGATATCATCTCAAGTGAGACATGTTTTGAATTGTCAATGAATTTAGAAAATTCTTAGCCTTTCTTGAGAAATGTATTTTTTCGAGTTGTGAGAATTTTGTTCTGAAGCTATCAAAATTTATCGAATGTATGGTTTTGGAGAAACGTTTTCCTAATTTTCTGGCGTCGAATTAACGCTCATTCGTGTTTTCGTTCGCGGGAATGCACGAAAATCGCACGCAATGCGGCGGATGTTGCCACTGTTCCCGTTAAAATTTTTGGAATATCTCCCGTCTGACAGCAGTGGCACGCAGACGAGCATTATCGCGCGCAAGAATCACCTCCCTGCTCAATTCCCAGGGTCGTTTATTTTTTACAGCCGTTCGTGATCGCTTTAATGCGTCGCAATAACCTGAAATAGCATAAGCAATCAAAACCTTAATTGTTTTTCCTTCGAGCTTAAACTACGCGCGAACGATTCCTTTCGAAATCGAAACTGATATCATATTTGCCTTCTTTGGACTATTGGATAATCTACCCTGGGATTCTAGAGTCCAAAATAAGACGAAAATCAAGAATACCAATTTGTTAATGAAGGCTTTGTTAAAAAGTTATTAACATTTAAAGTTCCGTTAGTACTGAATTTTTTTCTCGAAAATGGGCAGGATTTCGGGGGTATGTCTATTCACCAAAAATTATTGTAATTGACTCCTTCAACTGGATATAATTTTTTGAAAACGATTTGAAATTTTTTTTTTGCCGGAAAATTTGCCCAAGTATTCGAATTTTTTTCTCGAAAATGCGCAAGATTTCGGGGGTATGGCTATTGACCAAAAGTAATTGTAATTGACCCCTGCACTTGAATATATTTTTTTTAGAACGATTTGAAATTTTTTTATTTGCCGGAAAATTTAGGTACCTAACTCCTTGTCGATTTTTCTTAGAAATTCGTTTTTGATTTTTAGTAATTTTGTTTGACGCTCTACGGAAAAGTTGTCTAATACTTTTTTATAGGTACCCATGATGTCTACTCCAGAAAAAAGTTTCATCGAAATATATACACTATTGTAGAAGTTATGGTTGTTTGAAAATTGGACAATTTTCATGGGGTTTTTTTTCACTTTACGGGGTTAAGAAACAACTTTTCGAATACTTTTGCAATTTCTACATATTCTTCGCCAAAATACGCGTTGTTTGCCGTTTGAAACATTAAAATCCTTCAATCCGTTCAGAAGTTATGACATTTTAAAGATTCGCATGAAATTTTCGGGCAACATTTCTGGCCATCAATTACATTTTCGATTAGGAATTTTTTTCTCGAAAGTGCGTAGGATTTCAGGGATATGTGTAACGACCAAAAATGATCGTAATTGACCCCCGCAACCGAAAATAATTTTTCCAAAACGATTTGAAATTTTTTTTTCCGTCGAAAAATTTCACACCTTCTCGAATTTTTTTCTCAAAAATGGGTAGGATTTCGAGGGAATGTCTATTCACCAAAAATGATTGCAATTGACCCTTGTAATCGAAAATAATTTTTCCAGGGTGATTTGAAACTTTTCAATTTCGTCGAAAAATTTAGGCACCTACTGGAATTTTTTTCTCGTAAATGGGTAGAATTTCGGGGGTATGTGTATTCACCAAAAATGCTTGTAATTGACCCCTGTAACTAAATATAATTTTTTTAGTATGATTTGAAATTTTTTAATTTCGTCTAAAAATTAAGGCACCTTCTCGAATTTTTTTCTAGAAAATGGGAAGGATTTCGAGGGTATGTCTCTTCACCAAAAATGATTGCAATTAACCCCCGCAACCGAAAATAATTTTTCCAAAACGATTTGAAACTTTTCAATTTAATTGTTAATAACTTTTTAACGAAGCCTCCACCAACAAATCGGTATTCTTGACTTTCGTCTTATTTTGGCCTCCAGAATTCCTAAATTACCGAATTACGATTACCAAATTATATAAACAACCAGAATTTTAGTATTTTTCCAGAAATAAAAATTATATTTGTTATAAATGACGTATAATTGTATTCGAACGCGTTATTCCGGTCTTTATCGCGTAGATTTTGTTAAAGCGTAGAACCGTATCTTGAATATTTCGCGACAAAACGTTCCCTCGGTTTCCTGCAGCGGGCATAAAACGCTCCAACAACGAAGTTGTACGGCGCATCGTGAAAAGCACGTTTGAAAGTTCGGATGCGTAAACTTCATTAACAGTTTTCATATCTGGCAGGAAACGCATTTTACAGGCGAAACGGATGTACGGCGTATTGCGGAACGAGCGTAATAAAGGTGGGCAAGTATCGCCCTTGTAAAAAGTTACGTAATGAAACGCGATTGAAAAATTGAGTGGAGCCCCGGCGCAGTCACGTAGGGGAAGTTTTACACGCTTTTCTCTTACTATTTATTTTCCTTTAAGAAGATTAGTTGCTTTTGTCCTCCTTATGATGCAATAAACCACGCTACGAGGGAAGGATACGCTTATTTATTTCTCGACGTACATATTACGCTCGATAAGAAACTCCATTTATCCAAGACGCGATAAATAATTACTCCAAGATAATAAATAATGCAACGTTGACTATTTATGGAACAAAGAATCATCGTTAAATGAATATTAGAATAATTCAAAATTTAAAATTCGATCAAATCTTCGAGGAAAAGCAACAGTTCTGATAAATACATTTCGATACCGGAAGTGGTCAGAGTGATTCGTAATTTCTAATAAAAATGGTAAAAAATTGATTTTCGAAACTTTTCTATATAAAAGACTGAATAAAAATTTATTTCTATTGCGTTAGACATTTATTCGAGAGTCTAATCATTTTAATTTCTTCGATACAAATGGATACACTATAATTCTCGGTGGTTCTAGCGTTGTAGAGTCTTTTTTAACCGAGAAAAATAATTCACGTGTTATGTATACGCGCATACTTGGCAAAACTATGCGCCGATGTTTCCCAATTGATACATTTTACACCGTGCACCGTTTGTCTGAAATTGTTTCAAAATAGTTTATCGGTTGGCGAAACCCGACCGGAAAACCGCGTTTAAATTCCAGGCCTGAAAGTGTTAATATCGCCATAACACCGGAATGGGGAATGGTGTTATCAATACGAACGACATGATAAATTCATACTGAAAATTGCGTGGCTCGTTCGAATCGATCGTTAGGCTTCCAGGGTGCACCTTGCCTTGTTTATTTCTATTTCTTTGCAACTCTAATTTGTCGTACGTGATTTTATTTTTTCTCCAATAGGTAAATAAATATTGCTTTTAATTTTATTCCCAAATTCTCTAAAAATCCTAGTTTACGATGCCTCTCAGGTAATGAACTTGCATCTCACGAGTCTTCTAGTCGCTTGCCTGCTTAATTCGAAGCACAACAAGCAAAATGGCGCCTTTCGAAGCGCTTCGAATGCCATTTTAATGGTTTCTAAGGCTCTCCAGAGATTCCAAGGTATAAAAACGAAATTGCAACGTCACGACTCGATACTAGCTCCAGATATATTATTTAAAAATAGTCGACGTTTTCGTATTCGTACGAGAATTTCTATTTCTGGTGTTACGAGTCAATTTCTCAAGTTTCTATAATGCTACTTTTAAACTCGCATAATCTACGGTCTGAGCAACTACCTAGAAGCTCCTGGAGTTCTTCGATCATATAAAATATTTTGGTTTTAACAAATTTTAAACGACTTTGCCTGGAAAACTCTGTCAGACTTCATCAAACTAAAGTTTTTTCGAAGAAACTAGTCAAATTTCATCGTCAAGCCTTACATATTACAATCAACTGTTTATATTCTCTTGGTACTCATACTGACGGATCTATGTTTCCTTTGTGGTCATTTTTCGTTTAATTTAAACAAAATTAAACAGTGGGCACTCAAAAAATTATTTAAAATTAAACAGTACAGGTTTAAAAAATTATTTTGTGTTAGGGGATAGTCTCCTGTGAATGGCATCGATGGTGATTTGGTTGAGTGAGGTTGGTAGTGACGATGAGTGAGGGGAATACTGTGTGTATCGAGAAGACAAAGGAGTCACGCAGAACAAAGAGTGTTGCATATTTGTTGAGGATTTGGTTAAGTTTTTTTTTTTGTATTATAAATAAATCTGTTACTTTAACACTTTGGGAAACAAATTTAGATGGAATTTGTGAATTTCGACAAGGTTACGAAAATAAATACCGAAACTGTTAAAACTATGTAGTAAAAGTTATTTTTGTTTCGTGTGGTTGGCTACATTGCTTTACGTCCCCTTTCTTATGTTTTTCTGATGAGGATGGTAAAATCACAGTTTTCTGTTTGTTACCTTCCTTTTATTTTTCTAAATTACTAAACAAATATTGAACAAATTGAGTTTATTTTCTTCAATTCTAACAGAAACAAATTTCAAGTTACGTAACATAGAATGGTGTAAAATCGAAATTTTAATCTCGCAAGAGTATTATACAGTTTAAAATATGTGCTGGATCGGCTAGTTACGGTCCTGGGTGGTCGCAGCGCCACGCGGCGGCAAGCGAGAGAGTGAGAGTGTGGCGAGTGAGTTGAGAAATCGTCACGATGCGAGCCTGTTTTTTGTAATTCACATATACCTGCAATAAACTATTAATTTCACTGCGCAAACCACGACTTGATTATTCGGACGCTACAGATACAACGTTTTGAATGAAATCGACAGGCCGGGAGGACGAGGACAGCTACGTGGAGCCGTACACGAGCAGCGAGTGGATCTACATCGGCGACCTCGAGGAGAGCCACGTGTGGAGGAGGGCGGACAACAAGGATGGCGACGAGGTGGTGCCGGAAAGTGTCGCGAAAGAAAGAAGAAGTTCCCAGGAATCGACCGAGAGCGAGAGAAACTTTCGTGAGAAGTACCAGGCGGCGACGCGCAGGATGGTGCATCGAAAGAGCAGCGGCGAGATGTATAAAAGGATACAGACCAACAGTTTCGGTAAGTCGACAACGTAACCCTTTTTCGTTCGTCATCCGGTCGAATATTCACTTGACTATGCACGGGGGATGGCTGACGCCACGTTGTTCCGCCGGGGAACGTATTAAACTCGCGTAGTGGCACGCCTGCACGCGCCAACCGCCCTCTGTAGGGAGTTTTACGTCGCTCGCGGGCGCGTGTGAGGCGTTGAGCTGGAAAGATTAGCCCTGGAACGCTTTTAACACATTGACTGCCACGTCACCCACGTATGGGTGACACTATTTTTCATCCAAGGAGTTAAAAAAATTGATTCTCAAGATTAGATGCAAAATAAAATAAAGTTAGGTAGGGCCCTTGAATTTTAACGACTCTGTGAAAATAAATTCCATGAGAAATTCTTAGGTAGGCTAGATTCCAGTTGTCTAGAAACAAAATTTAATTTTCTTTTTAATTTGAGGGGTTTGGCCTGGCAGTCAACGTTTAATTTGAGGGGTTTGGCCTAGGCTCGCGACTCGAACACGGTAGATTGAAATTTTTAACTAGGGGGGAACAAAATTTCGCGAGATTCTTTACTCTGGATCGACAATCATCATGTATTTATTTCTACCAGAGAAATTAAAAAGATAGACGCTTGAATAATCGTTCTCTTGTAGAAAACTGATAGTAAAAATTCGATCGAGTAAATTTTTCGCAATTTTTAAATAGAAATTCGGATCGTTTTGACCACTTTTGGTAGTTCTAGTGTTGAAGATGGAATGGAAGGGATCGCAAATAGTGATAAACATGCGAGATTAACGTTAACAAGGATGGCTAGCTGGGTTGTCGTACGTATACCGTATAAACGCAGCGAAATTAAACGCTGGATTCTGATTATCTCGGTCCACGTACCGAGAAACGAGTAGAAAATTTATGGTCGTTCGAGGCGAGTACAACACGCTGAACGCATCCATTTTCCCTCCTCGACAAGTTTCTAATTGTTTCGCGGGCGAAACGCTAGATGGCATCCTGCTGGCGGCTCAACGTACCGGAAATTAGTCTCAATGACGATACACATGCAATAAATAATAGCTGAATCGTTCATTTAAATTCTATAAATACCGTGAAACTAATCAAAGTACATATTTCAAGTTATACTATAGACACACTAGAATAGATTTATTCAAACTACTCAAATATCTTTCAAACTGTAGTATAGACAAACTAGAATACATTTATTCAAACTATTCAAATATATTTTAATACACTAACGATTCGAAATTAGCCTCAGTGGCGATACATATGCAATAAATAATAGTTGAATCTTTCATTTAAATTTTCTAAATACCGTGAAACTATTCAAAATACTCGAATATATTTCAAATTACACTATAGACAAACTAGAATACATTTATTCAAACTATTCAATTATATTTTAATACACGAACCAATCGAAATTAGCCTCAATGGCGACACATATGCAATAAATAATAGTTGAATCGCTCATTTAAATTTTCTAAATACCGTGGAACTATTCAAAGTACTCAAATATATTTTAATATACGAACGAATCGAAATTAGCCTCAATGACAATACATATGCAATAAATAATAGTTGAATCTTTCATTTAAATTTTCTAAATACCGTGATACTATTCAAAATACTCGAATATATTTCAAATTACACTATAGACAAACTAGAATACATTTATTCAAACTATTCAATTATATTTTAATACACGAACCAATCGAAATTAGCCTCAATGGCGACACATATGCAATAAATAATAGTTGAATCGCTCATTTAAATTTTCTAAATACCGTGGAACTATTCAAAGTACTCAAATATATTTTAATATACGAACGAATCGAAATTAGCCTCAATGACAATACATATGCAATAAATAATAGTTGAATCTTTCATTTAAATTTTCTAAATACCGTGAAACTATTCAAAATACTCGAATATATTTCAAATTACACTATAGACAAACTAGAATACATTTATTCAAACTATTCAATTATATTTTAATACACGAACCAATCGAAATTAGCCTCAATGGCGACACATATGCAATAAATAATAGTTGAATCGCTCATTTAAATTTTCTAAATACCGTGGAACTATTCAAAGTACTCAAATATATAGTTTAATATACGAACGAATCGAAATTAGCCTCAATGACAATACATATGCAATAAATAATAGTTGAATTTTTCATTTAAATTTTCTAAATACCGTGAAACTATTCAAAATACTCGAATATATTACAAATTACACTATAGACAAACTAGAATACATTTATTCAAACTATTCAATTATATTTTAATACACGAACCAATCGAAATTAGCCTCAATGGCGACACATATGCAATAAATAGTAGTTGAATCGCTCATTTAAATTTTCTAAATACCGTGGAACTATTCAAAGTACTCAAATATATTTTAATATACGAACGAATCGAAATTAGCCTCAATGACAATACATATGCAATAAATAATAGTTGAATTTTTCATTTAAATTTTCTAAATACCGTGAAACTATTCAAAATACTCGAATATATTTCAAATTACACTATAGACAAACTAGAATACATTTATTCAAACTATTCAATTATATTTTAATACACGAACCAATCGAAATTAGCCTCAATGGCGACACATATGCAATAAATAATAGTTGAATCGATCATTAAAATATTCCAAATACCGTGGAACTATTCAAACTACTAAAATATATTTTAATACCCAAATGAGCCGAAATTAGAAGTTTACGAGCGGGTGTAAAATTTGTGTCGGGGAATAAAATTGGTGTTTGTCGGAGGGCATCGTAACTGGAGTGGTCGTTGAACTTCCCCGCCGCTGAATATTACGGGCTCGCGTATCGCGCTGCGAACAGATTTGAAGAAACCGGGTGGTGTGATTGATCACCCCACACACCGAAAGGCCGTCCACGTATAATACGAAAAAAGCCATGCCCACTGTGCGCGTAAGGATCCAGCGCAATCCTTTACGTAAGCAAAAGATCCTGTCTCGCGAGATGGATGTTCCGGGAGCCCGGAGCCATTTCGCGTATCATCCGAAATGACTTTAAACTAGGTCCCTTGCCGGAGGACCAGAGACGGAGGCGTCGAACGATATTAGAAATACTCGAAAAGATCTCGAAATATTTCGACCATCAAAATGTAATCGCGATTCGTCGAGAGCAGTTTTAACCTACTCGTTTGTAATGTTCGTGTTTCGACCTAGCTTATCCTTCGATTTTAATTTATCTCAGGAGGGTGGATGTCGCAAGTTGCTATATGCAAGATATTATTAGGTCGTTCGTGGAGTTTCTTTTCAATGAAAATTTCTTTTCTTGCCTCAATTTGAATGATCTTGGTGGAAGATTCCAAGGCCATAAAATTCTAAATTCTGATGGTTTGGTTGCGAAGTATGCGTCGACCCAATTTTTCGTTTGGTCGAATTTTCGGAATGCGTGCCCTCTGAGACAGTGTTCCATCGATCCGGAGCAGATGGTATTCGGTGGGAGCTGCATCTGGAGAATAGGCTAACCGAGAGCCAACGAGGAAAGGACCTCGATTGTTCGACTTCGATTTTAACTAGTCTTTGCAAGGTGACAATATGTACATATCTTCCCAACTATATGTGCAAAATATTAAGTTTAAATACTCGATAATTTTAAAGATACACACGATTACAATTATGAACCATACATATATACTATAACTATATACACTAGGCGACAAAATGTTGTTGGTGAGGTGAAGAGAGTGCCTGACTGGTAAATCGAAGGTTCTGCGTTCGATTCTTGCTCCAGTGGGTATATATTTTTTTCTATTATAAAAATATACATGCATGCAATAAAAATACAAATAATTATAAATGTACCTTATTTAATATCTAAACTAATGATTCACAAAAATATACAATTGCTATAGTGCTAAAACTTTCTTTCGATATGGACAATTTTGATACAATTTAGCACTGTATTGTATATTTTTGTAAATCATTGCTTTGAATATTAGGTAAGATACATTTATTGCTATCATTTATATTTGTATTGCATACATCTCTGAACTCTTATATTTACGATATATTATTGAGGGTTTATATCTCCAATTGTTAATATCTTTAAAATTGTTCAGTATCTACACATCCAAGGGCCCAAATTCGTTAAGATCGAAGTCAAACCTTCCCTTTTAAGTATCGATTCAACCGTGACAAATAAAACACAATCGTCAGTTTACGAGCGGTCCGCGGTACTTAATAAACCGACGCCCATAACTCGATAATTTTCGAGACACGAGCAATTCAAATCGTATACCTTGCGGAGCGAATATTAATTAATGTCCCCTTCCGCCATTTTGCGCGAGCATTCCGCGGACAATATTTGCTTTACGATCGCCCTGTATTGTACAATCATTGCAAACGTAAAATGCTCGACGCTCGTATTTTGTACTTTTCGTCGACAAATATATACTCGGGAATTAATTTTTCAGCGAACCGTGTTGTTGCTGTTATAAATAACCTCCGTTGATAAAGAAACGTGCACTCTGCAGGAGATTCGCGTTTCCCCAGTGTCGCGAGTCTCTCGCCACTTTAACGAAAGAAAGTGACAAGGATTGATCTTACAAAGTGTACTATAATATTCATAGCGTGCCTCGAAAGTTCCAAACGATCGAACAGAGTTTCAGATTGTCGGGCTAAAAATATTCCACCGCCATTTTCCTCTTCCTTCGAAATATTACATTACGCGTGTACGATTTCGCGCAGTGTTTTATATTTTTTCGTTAAATTTCACTCGACTACGGTGTCCTCGAGCCCTTCGTTACGCCGCTTATTCATAAATTGTTCGATGGCAAAGCCCTGGATCTTTCCAGCGAGACTCGGCGCCCGCGACAACGCAAAAACAACCCCGACGTCGCTGGAAAACAATCTCCCAGGCTACAACGCGGCTTCGGATTGGTCGACCGGAAGCCCCATTCTTAACCCGCTTGACTATGATCTGTCGCGAGTTTTCGACGAAATGACACGAAAGAAAT